CCATCCTTTCGGCACGTCCCTGCTTAGAACGACTCGCAGAACCCCGGCCAGCCTCGCCCACTTAGTTTTGGTCATCACTGATTTTCTGGAAAGATGCCTAATGCTGCATGTATATATACATATATATATATATGCAGCATATATATATATATATATATATATATATATATGTAGCATATATATATATATATGTATACATATATGTACATATACATATAGATACGATATATGTATGCATAAAATATAAAGGTATTTAAAGGTATGCGTATACATGCTCGGAAAAGAGATAAAAGATATCCCTACGAGGGGTATCTCTATCTCATCAGTTACTCTTCTTATGTCATAAGGATGTTATCATTTCGTTATTCATTAGACCTGCATTCGCAACCAAAAGTGCCGATTCTGCCTTCCACCCAATAAATGTGATGTTGCCTTCAATGTCACGGTTTAGACCTGCCTTTCCAGACCTGCAGTATTTTACATTGTGCGTCAACTGGAAAACGTCGTGGCATGGCCGATCTCATCAGGATTCAGAGAGCGGTGGCGTTTCCTGAATTACGGCGTGCACAGGGTTTGCAAGAAATGCTTTGCCTCGTTACGTCATCGATGAAATAGACTGCACGAACAGTCTGTACATCTTCGTGGGCATGTGGCTCAGAAACTAAAGGGGCAGAGGTCTTAAGACTGGCGGGCCTCTGAACTGCACCGAATGATCTTCAAGCTGGCTATTTTAGTTCAAAAACCTATATAATGCTTGACGCTCCCTTTCAATGTGAGCTTCTTGATTTTAGTGTTTATATTGAGTGATTGAGTTAAGTACAAATTTGGCACGCCTCTGTATGCATCCGATATTTACGAGTAGCAAATAATGCCCATTACGACGAAGTTGTCTGGTGGTGTGTGCATTTTCCTGTTGCAACCTAGATGTAAAATTTGGGGGGGGGGGAGGATGGAGGCGTGAATTGATTCCCAGTGAATCTGTGTATTACTCAAAGCGCTGGATACTCGGCTTTTCTAATTGTTTCCAAATGTTGTATTTTTTAACATGGACTCCGATCTGTGGTGTGGGGATACGTTTCTTAATGTTATGACAGCTCGTTGTACATCATGACTTTATTTAGATGAGAACTGTGAGTGCTTCCAACATTAAGCAGCCATTATCCAGGTATGGTAGTTCAGTCTAATGTTTATAAATTAGTCACTCCATCGCATTACATTATATTGTCTAATTGATGTAATATTTCAAAGTATTTTGCATTCTGTCATAATGTATTCTCTTTAGATAGCGTCATACAGATGTTCGTTACCTTCATTCCCTTGCTCCCAACCAAAACCGGATCTAGTACAATTTAGTTAGGTTTAAGGAAGGTGCATACCTGTCAGCACGATACTTCCCATTTCATAACACCATATGCTCTCTATCTATTTGTTTATACGGGTCTACTTTATTTTTTATAGGAAAAATTTGCTCATGCACAAATATTTGCATATAATACACTTTCATGGAGGGGGGGGGGGGGGCTACTCCAAGCTGTCGCTATGTGGACATGGGCAAGGGCGTGTCGCCGGCAGATCTGACGGCATCCTTGACGAGTTACCATTCCTGCTTTAAAAGAAGAAGAGAAAACATCGGAGGGGTATTCCCGGCATTGTTCAAGACAAAGGCGATTAGCTGGTATAGTCTAAACTGCTCCAAATATAAAAGAACGCATCCAGAAGGGTGTCCAATTACATTACTACAAAAACTAAATAGGTAAAGTACTTACTATAAAGGGGAAAACGCGGTGACCGCGATGCGTAGTTGGAAACTGATCAGTATGTGCCCCACAGGGCGCATGCGTTGAGGGCCTTGTGGATTGAGTACTGAGGAGATCCTTGACATTTTTCGGACAGAGGCCCCAAGGGTAGGACACGAGGTGGCCCATTAGCTTTCGCAGTCAAAGGCTGGAGGGCCTTTCCATCCCACCTCGGGGGCCTCACGGGTACCATTCCGACGAAACGGGCGCCGAAGCCACTAGGTCGATCCGGAGGCTCTCAGTGGGAAACATCATGCTTTTTCCCTCGTAGCGCAGGAGGCGTACCAACAATGGGGCCCTCAATGACGCAAAATGATCCCCTATCGGTCCAAGGGGTCCAACAATTGGCACAGGGACCCCAATTTGGGCTGCCAGGCCCCTTACCAAAGCGGAGCAAGAGGGCCGCCATCCGGTACTCAGGCTCTCTGGCTGGTACAGGGCCTTCCACTGTCTTATTGTGGAACCCTTCATTGTCATTTGCCACACCTTATTTCATTGTCAGACGACCCCAACCGACGCGAGAGCCCCTCTCACGCCTGGGGTCTCTTCCCTATTCAACAAGTCGCCCCCAGCCGACTCGGTGGCCCCTTTCCGACACTGGGTGCCTACGAAGCATCTTGGGGTACCTGGTTTTTGGCAGGGTTCTCGATCAATTGTAAATATTGACACGTCAAGCTGAAAAAGTTCCCCTGTGCTACCTCCCTACTTCCCTATGTACTGGGGAGGGCGAAGGGTATAGAAATGCTGCCTTTGCCGCGGACCCTTGCGTAGCCGTGCTGGGGACAGAACAGACTTGAATCACGTCCTGCTTATTCAGACCGATCACACGCCACAAGCAAGTAGCGCACACCCCTCCGCAACTCCCTCCCGCCAAGTAGCGGTCACCCCTCCGCCACTCCTCCCGCCAGTGATTTAGACTTGATCTCAAACCCTGATGACGACCATGCTGACCCGCATACCGTCGCAGAACCCAACGTCAGCTCACGTTGTAAGGGGTGGAGGACGGTGGGAGGGGTGGGGAGCGGCACGGAAACAACTTCTCCAACTACTACCCAATCTTGCCTTTCTTCAATAGCGGTGTATGGATACAGACGGGGAACAGCGGCAACCGACCCATGCCCCTCACAATTGTCTGACATTCTGCCGCCACTTCGGGCAACCAACAGCAATACCACAAATCTGTTGGCTCTAATGGAGGGGTACATTCGATTCAGTTGGGGGGCGGGGGAGGAGAGGATGGGGATTCGAGCCCCCTCCCCCAACTCCAGGAAGAAGCCCGTTTATCGGCTATTTTGGGTAAGATTACGTCATTTTGCACTGCTGACTCCTCCCCGAACAATTAATTTTGAGAAAGGCACGCCCCTCTTGTAATGCCTAGGCATCAAGAAGCTAATTATAAGGAAGTGTTCACCATTCTATCTTTCTCGAAACCATGCATTTGGCTTTACTACTGGGCTTAGTCCAATGATGCTTTCTGGCAGCAGAAGCTGCGCTATTTTTGCTTACCTTTTCAACTAATGCAGTTTAGCTGGAGATGGTGCTTCTTAAATGCGAACTTCTTACGCAATATTTTCGAATTGCAAATGACTTATCGAGCGACGTAACCACAATATTTTACATTGTACTGGTCACAACAAACTATACATTATGACACTCACCACGGACACTACGCAGGACAGAAACACCGGTGCGATTTTACCGGAATTCAAAGACGGCTTGAGACAGGAATCAGGTGTCTTTTCATTTTGCTGCAGGTGATGACAACACTTAAGAGTAGCCGGAAGAAAACTATAGCTGGCTTTTAGATTCATTTCTTTCGATGCAATGGTGTAGCATTGATGTACAAACATGAAAAAGTTGTGCTGAGTACTGCCCCCAATCCGCTCCCAAATCTGTTGTGAAGCCAAAGGCCTGAGGGGTAAAAAAAACGAGAAGATATGCGGTGATGATCAAGTGATGCATACTCATTGAACGCAAATATTGGTATGTCCTTATCTTTGCCAGGGATATCATAGCACACTCAGCTGCATAACCACCAGAGCATTTGCAAAGCTTTATCTGAAGCTGGACGCAAGTAGTCTGTAAGATCTCAAAAAGACAGCAAAACATAGTCATTACCAGCATGAACGTATCTATACTAACCACGCGAACACCCGTTGCCGCCTTGTAGAAGATTTCAACATAATTAAAACTCTTAGCAGAAATCTATGCGCTTTCTGCTGATGAAGGGTATTCGGGCCTGTCCCTGAGCCGCCGTCAAATGGTTAGAATAAAGGCTCGTGCTCTTTCTTGCTCAGTTAACGCCGGCGACTGCAGTCGTAAACCGTAAAAGGCCCGTGTGTGCCGAAAATGGTGACTTTAACAAAAATATCCGCAAAGATCTCACTTCATATCGATCCCGACTGGTTGAAAAATGTTTAACCTGTCTATCCCTCAAAACCTCCCTTGGAAGAGGCACGTATTTGGGGGAGGTTAAGTTACCGGGTCCCTGTTCCGCCCCCCCCCCCCCCTATAATTGAAACAAATTGACGCCACTCATTGTGCGGCTAGGAAACGAACGGGACGCCGTCCGGGGGCTCATCGTCCCATGTGCCTAGAATACATCGTGCCGTTCCTGAACCCATTGTTTCCTCAAATTTTGGATGCTGACAATGGTTAGCCCAGTAGCATTTGATACACGTTCTCGGGATGTTTTTTTAATTGAGATAAAACTGACGTGCCGCAGGCCTCAAAAACGGATGTCAGATTTCTGACAATAACTGCAATAGTACGGGAAGCCTGAAAAACACAGCACTGTGGGTACTGCGAGTATTTTATTTCATTACTGAATGAAATAAAATTCGCCCCAAGTTTCGAACACCTCAACATCATCGCATTCCCCGAGTCTTCGGAAGTCGCGGGTGTGTCTTCTGGTCTGGGTCACATCTCTCGCCGGCCCCCCGACGCTGACCGCCCTGTTCGCCACGGCTCGCGCTCCGTCGTCAGAGGCGGCGGCGGCGGCGGCGGCGGCGGCGCTTCCCGCCCGGCCGCAGCCGTCCTCCCATTATTGCCGGGCCGCCGCTGTCTGTCCTGACGTCACGGGAGGGGGCGGAGCCAGGCGGCGGGCGGCGCCTGATTGGCCGATGCGCCGATGCTCTTCTGACAAGGCGGATCCCCTGTCCGCCCGAGGAATCCTCGCCGCCCAGACCGGGCCGGCCACTTGAAGGAGGTGTCGGGTGGGGACCGGCCGCGCCGTGTGACCTTCGACGCTGACCTGGCCGGGTCACAGCGCCATGCTCGCCGCCGGTGAGGAGCTCAGGCGCATGGAGTCGATGACTGCTAATATCGAAGGTGAGTGGCGAAAGTTGTCGCCGCCGTACGTTAGTCGGTGCACGTCACGTTGTTGTGTACGTTATTCAGCACGTTGTTCATTTGGCGCGCTTTGTTTGCTTAAGCATGCTTGATTGTGTTAGAGTGTGGGTATTGTAGGCTCGGGGCGGTGGAAACCCCGGGAGAGATGGGGACAGGGGGCAAACGCGATTTTTAACTCGGTTGTCTCCATGCAACGCCGCAAGGTCAATGCTAAATATTACCCGGGGTTGGATGCAGTTGTCCCTGCTCCTCTTCCCCTTCCCTAGTCCAAATTAAGACGCGAGCACTGTTTGAAGCAGAACAACATGGCAGGCCACTGTCAGTTGTGAGAGTAGGAGTGTCAGAGTCAAGAACTTCAACCGGGAGGTGACCTCTTAATGTCGTGCCAGAAGGCAGGCTTCATGCTCGAGTGTATATCGCTCCAAAAACACAGGTACGCCACAACGCAATCAGGATAGACCTTTAGACCTAGAGGTCTAATAAACGTATAAACAGACCTTTCTGCGAACAACACCGCAGAAGCCCGTCTCGTGCTGCTAACATGTCCCAGAAAGTCCGTCGCGCACAGTCTGCCCCAGCATCCTTCCCCATCGCAAAGGTGGCGCCTCTAGAGAGGCTTTCGCGCAATCTCGGCGGAAGCGCACGCCCGCTCACCGCAATCAGTGACGAACCGCACGGTCCACACGCACCTTCCGCCCGGGGCCGCCAGTTCCGGTGACGTCACTGCAGAATACCCGGCAGAATGCTCCTCCGCTCCGCACGACTTTCTACAAACATCCGACGTGCAGCTGTTGGAACCGCTTCCCGTGTGGCGCCGCTAGCGCCAGCACCGAGTGAAACCCGGAGTCAGCGCAGGGCGCAAACACGCGGTCCGGCCTCATGATCACGGCCAGTTTCCACCCGAGTGGCCGGTAGCGCCGCGGATTTCGCACATCGGAGGTCACACAACTGTCCCGCGTGATGGTGCGGAACGGACGCAGCGTCGGTGTTGTGCGCGTCTTCGAGCGGCACATCGAAGCCGCGCTAATAACTCCTACTGTGGGTGATCATCCCTCCGGACGCCCGCGGGAAGAGAAGGCCGGCGCTGGCGGCTCGCTGACCGGACGGTAGTCACGCGCTGTGCCGTGTGCCTCCAGTCACGAGGTAAAGAGTTAACCTCCGAACCTCGTGCGTTTCCATGAGGGTGCGGCCGGCTTGCCGGTGGTGAGATGAGGAACGGGTTCCGACTGCCGTGTATGGGGAGCGTCCTCGGCTGATGATCACGGGCCGTGTCTGCATTCTTATTCACTGGGTGTGTGTCATTGTACAAACTAGTGTGGTCTCCATTAACGTACATACGAATCTGGCTGTTTTGCACCCCCACAGCCGCTATCTTCTTCGCTTCGTTTTTAGATATACGAAAGGGGTGCGAATATTTCTCCAATTCGTGTCTGTCGAGCAGCCATCAATCTTGTGAGCAATCGTGCCCATTGTTTCTTGATGAATTTTCATGAGTATATAAGTACCTGGCGATAGAGTGTAGTAATAGAAAAAACTTGAACAAATTTGGACTGCCTATAATTAAAGGGAGTGCTCACCATTTGTATGTGTGTTAGCCATCTTGAACATCATTTGGTCCAGTACACAGGCCTGCCCTTTTTAGTTCCTTTAAGTTTTTATCTTCTGAGCTACATGACTGCGAAGATGTGCAGACTTTTTCGGGGAGACTATTTCGAGGTCTTCCAGGCATCCATGACGCCATAATAATGCCATTTAAACCCTGCCACTCATTTGGCCATGCGGCGATTAAGACCAATAAAAATATAAGTATCGACTCGTTCACATATGGCGTTCGTGAGCACGATTTTCAATTATAGTGTCCGATTGGCTCAAAAGTCAAATTGCTCTCAGTCAATGCTGTGCGAGGTGCGACGACATTATCAAACAAAGACGCAATGAGGAGCATTTTTATCAAACAAAGAAATCATGTTGTCTAGAGCAATCTTTCCTGCTTAAAAAGTATACCAATGGTTATAATTTAAGCACCGGAGGCTGCTAAAAGTAAAACGCTATTGAAAGTTGCTTTGATGTGACGTCCGAGATCCCGACATGGTAAAATCCAGTTCAGCCAGCTCCAAACAACCTTGCAAGTTGGCGCCGATTTTGGATGCCATTTTGCCGGCTTAAATAAGAGCAACATGCAAAATAGGAATATATTCTAAGTTCACTCGGTCATGCCTGGGATACCCACTGGCGCATCCCAGGCATGACCGAGTGATGTCACCGCCGGCTCTGGATGCGAGTTCCGTACCTGACCGGTATGTTTTATTTGCTTCGCGTGGTGGATGCGAGGCGATGCGTCCGTGTGTCGTGGGGAAGGGAAGGGGCGGGGGGCGGGGGTCAGTTTTCATATGGAGTCCAGACATCATTCTCCGTCCTGGTTATTCCGACCAAAATGCACGAAGTAGAGATGATTCCCTTACAGCCAGTAAGGACTTTGACAAGTGAGCTGATGTCTTCTCAAGACCACTCGTACGATATATATTGTGCTTAAGTAGACTGGAATCAGAAATGGTTTATACTGCTCCTCCGATCGCCCACGTACATATATACACACACACCTATATATATATATATATATATATATATATATATATATATATATATATATCATGCCATGTGTGCAGTCATACCCATTGCAATAGCGTGATGATTTGACGGGTGCAGTTAAATCTACTATAATTAAGGCAGCACGCAACTGGCATGCCTGCATTATAATTAAGCTGCATCAATCCATATTTTATTCGCGTAGTGGTCGCTCCATATCAAGCGCTTATAAATGCTTTGATGTGAAATGACGTCAAACAAATACTTTATCTTAGTTTTGGCCTTCTCACATGTCAAGTGCAGTTATTTGTATGCATTCGTCCACAAAGCGGACAAATTATAAGATCAAATTGCAGATTTTCTCCGAAGTAAATAAATAGACTCGTTTAGCTTGTGTGCAATTCGACCAAGTTCATGAGTCCTGCTGGATGGTGCAGTTCCAGGTAAATTATACTGCAGCATCATGGGCGCAGAAACCCGCAGGAAGTTGGATATGGAGGGGGGGGGGGGGGGGGCAAGAAGCCCACGGGTAAATATTTTATGATGCAACATTATCAGGTGGTGTAAATGTTCTAAAGTTCAGGTCTAACATTATATTTTCTGGACTGAAATCAGCCTTCCCTGCTCATCCAGATTCCCGCGCTTTTGTTCAACGCGACCTTCGTCATCCGATGCCATGCTCTTGTTCATCGCTTAGGCTCACGAGTCCCTGTTTAATGTCAACCGGACGATGAATCGCTCCTCAGCTTTTGAAAGGCCATTGTTCCAAAAAGGGTACATGACCTCCCGCGTGTTGTAATAGTCTGGGTGCTTGCCGCGATGATCGTAACCAATTAGTAACCAACTTGCTTGCTCGGTACCTTTCACGCGATTTCGTAATGGTGACGGTGGCTTCCATTATTGCAGTTAACCGCGTCAGCTGCTACTTGCTCTACCAATAATTTCAAATGATTTCATTCCACTTTGTTTCTAGCGTCAAACGAGGATTATATCAATTGTTTTACCGAGGAATTTTAAGGTAGTGCCGGGTGATGCAACATTGTGCAAGCTTCTTTGATGCCAGGGGCCAGCACGGCAAGTGAATTCTAGAATTTAGAAATGTGCAAGACTTATAGTTTGAAATGTTATCGTCCTGAGAATATTTATTGTGATTTTGAGCTTTTAAACAAGGTGCAGCCATGAAAAATACTCAGGACATGTGTATAACTGACCTGTGGCCAACAAAGTCAACATTCTGAGTTCTTCTCCTTGAAATCTTGCGCTCTGAGAATGTCTTGCGTTATTTCGGGCACACCACCTCACGACGCTGGGGCCACAGGGGTATGATTTCATTAGAAACGCATGATTTCAGTAAGTGTTATAGTGTCCACAATCGGCATCCAGTCAATGCCAACATACTAATCCGGTGGCCGAGCCGACAATCTCGGGTCCGTGCCGTCACCAGAGAATGTTGTCCCGCGTAGCATGCATTGGAAGCTGACACCAGACGCCTCGCCAGTCCAGCTTTGTCGCCTCTATGTCCGCACTCACTCCATCCATCGAGTTGAAGTTTTGAGAACATCTTGTTTTTCTGAAGTTAGTGCTTCGGTTGGATGCTGCCTTCCTTTCGGAGATACAGACGTGTTCATGTGTCTAAGAGAAGCCTGTCCTCACAAAAGCGTCCTCCTAAAGCCCGGTGCCGAATCCATCACGCTGATTGGCTTCCAAGATACGAAAATGAGACACGTTTGGGAGGCGATCTGATAGAATTAAGCGTAAGGATGCACACTAGTACAATATCTCAAGTTGCACCCTTAAAACTGGTGGAAAATGTTGTTATACGCTGTATAACTTCGTCCACTGCAAGCCACATGCCAGGTACATTTACTGATTTGCATCCGGAACTTAAGTTAATTTCCTCGAATGCCTTAGAGAAAATGCTGCATGGCTTGCAGACTTAGTGAATATCCTTGGATGCCTTTGAGGAGGTACTGCATGGCTTGCAGACCTTCTTGACCCGAACGCTGTGGCTTTTCGAGAACTGTGAAGCGTGCCCGCCCGGAGTATCTGGCGCACGCGCACTAGTCATACATCACGCTGTGGTTGGTTGCAAAACCGCGCTGGTCGAAGCGTGGTTTCTAACCGTGCCTCGAAGAGTCCGTGCTTTTATTTCTTGCACCTAACAAGCACTGTTATAAAAAAATAAGCTGTCCCATGTACAAAGCCATCTCGATACGAAGATCTGGAGCCCAAGTCGTCCCAAGACATTTAAGCGTGCATCGAACGGAGCCTATTCGGTTCATCTAACATTCTGTTCAGAGCTTTTAGAGCTTCAAGCCACATGCGGCGTCCTGAACAAAGTCGACCGTTCCGGCTCGGCCAACAACACCTGAAATCAACGCTGCAGTTTTGTG